GAGACAAATATATTTAGACTGTTTCACAATCAACATATGGGTTTTATTGTTGTCACTTATACACTGAGTTTTAAACCATTTGCAAAATGTCAATAAACTTTATATATATATATATATATCAGTTAGACTGTTTTCATTCTAAAGGAACAACAACAGAAGTGTGGATCTTACTACAAAGTAAAGATTGTATGAAGGAAAATTCTTATCTGGTACTAGTAGTATATACAAATCGCACAAGGTTATCATTCTAAATACTGAATGATATCTTTATTATGAACTAAATATAAAATTATGCTAAATTATTGAACTTGAAACTACCAATTTGATTGCAAAATAATATAAAAAATTACAAACTCTTTCAGTTCAAAGTGCTAAGCCTAATTCATGTAAAGACCTTGCACTCACAAACAATCGTGGATCAACTTCTTTCCTAAAAAATATATCTATTTTAAGTTAATTTTTCAATATAATGATTAATATAAATAGATATATGAGACAGCATGACATAAGCTACTATAGAAAAATAATAGTCACATCCCATGCAGTTTTTTCCAGAAGCAAGTTTTCTAAGGCTTATAAAAAAAGTACTATTGGCCAATACTAAATACAACCTCTACATAAAATGGCAGTTACTATAATAAGCACCACCCACATTCATATTGTAAAATCTAGAGAACAACGTTTTGTCACATGCTTTGCTTATCATCCTATGATTTTTCAAACGTGAAATACGGCGATTGGAATAACATGGTACTGAAATTGACACCTTCGACTAAGATTGGCTAAAAGTTTTACAACTGAGGTTTAACACGCCCGGACACTGTTTTATAAAGGAAACAGACTAGAAAAAGGTTTAGATACCAATCATAGATGGCAGGACCAGCACTGAAACGGAAGGAAAATCTTTTTTAAATTTTCATAAAAAACTTTCATCTCAGAGGGCACTTATTTATAATCTCAAACATATTTTGGGATTTTTTTTATTAAATTTCTCTTTTTAAAATTCATTAAATAATAAAATTTTGAACAAATCATTGAATGTTATGCTACTATTTACAAAAATAAAATCTTAAATCCAATAAAAGATAAGTTCTCTATAATTTTTTCAATTCACAAATGTGATTTTGCCATCATGATAAGACAAAATGGCCATGGCAGGTAGCGGGTTAATGTATCCTATTTTTATCTGTTAACATTCTACTACATTGTGTACTTATGCTATTATGTAGGGATGATGCAAATGTCATCCATACTATCTTGTTTGCATTGTTTTTGAGGGATTGATATTAGCCATCCCTACATTTATTTCCGTTTTTGAAAAGAGTTTTTTTTATTTGTTGTGTATGGTATTGCTAGGAGCAATACCATGTACGTAGTGTCAGACAGTGAAAACAGCAGGCCTATGACATTATTATTGTTTTTTTATCTCCTATAAGTAATGCTGATACTTCTTTAAGAAGCTTGATTTTTTATTACCAGTTTTTAAACTGATAACTAAAAATGGTATTCAAATCAAGTAGACTTACCTTAGAAATACTAAAAGCCTTTCCTTGTTGAGGTACCCCAGTGGGTCAACAGTAAGTTTATGGACTTACAGTGCTAAAATCTGGGGTTCATTTCCACATGGTTAACAGAGTGTAAGTAGTCTAATGTGTAGATTTGTGTCAAACAAAATTCCATGTGAATTTGCTCTCATGTTGTCAACAATCATATGACTAAAGGTTCTGATGTTCTTTGCAAAATTCAGAGTTTGTGTCAAATTACATAGACTTTTCTATTCTCCCACTGATCATGTTACTTATTATACATGCATGAGTAAAATGTACATATGCTCTGCTTCCCCAATAATCCAGATATTCTTTTTGACAGTCATGATGTTAATTTTGCTCCTGTAAATTCTGAAGATTATATTAATTACTACTGCAAATGTTTCAATCAACATGTGAAATTTTACAGCTTCTTTGAAGGCCTTCTATAGTCTGCCTCTAGCATGCAGAGAGACCTGGTGACTGTACTGTTGACCCTTGTTGATCAATGTATTCAGGATGTTAATATTATATTGTCTGCTGGTATCCCTGCTGGATTTCACATTCGTGTAGGTAGATGCTCAGTTATGAAACATTTGCTTTTTTTTTTATTGTGATGATTAAAAAAATATTTTGCTCAGGTTTGTTCACCTTCACTGTGTGAAGAGCAAATCTTATCACTTAACCGTAATTCCAAAGGAGCTTCTACTTGTTTAGTTTCTCTTTTTTTTCTTCTCATTCATATTTTAATCTTGAATTAATTCTGTTGCCTGAGAGTTTGTATTCAGTTCTTTAATCTTTATATTTTCTACTTTCTGATTTTTGAGTCATTGCTGATGCTTTAGAGATCAACTATATCTTAAACCCCATTTAGTGGGGTCGTCATCTTCTACTAATCTTTAATACTTTTTAAGTTCTTGACCCTCAGATTATGGTATATTTTGATTCATAGTCAGTTTTCTGTCCTGCATGCTATGAACTGACTCATTATGATATTTTTTTTTCAAGTAATGTTTGTCCTCTTTCCTTGTTTCCCTTGTCTATTTCTCAGTTGACTTCAGCTACTTTTGATCATGGTTTTTGACTCTACAAAGTTCCCAAAAGATTGTTTTTGACCCTACCAAGGGGCTAAAAGTAGACATAAGTAAGGTTGATCTTCTTGACCCTATCAATCACTCTCTTCTGTTCTGGATGTTAAAATCTCTCATCTATGTTGTTGGAGGGTTGTCTCAGATCATTTGTTCATCTATGGGACCCTCAGAATCAACTTACCCATCAGTTTGGTCTTAATGTCTCAAATATCCTTCAGACAGGAACACTCACAACCATCTATCATGCTTCTCCAGGTTTTAACTTTATGGTTCTGATGATATCAGTTAATTGGAGGCATGTCTCAAACTCATTAATTTGAAACACCTCTATCCAATGGAAAAATTTTTTTTTATGAAAGCTTTTTCCTTGTGGTCATTAGGTAACAATGATGAACATTCATCTTTGTATCCCTGTTCATCAATTACTCCATCTTTTTGCCATTGGGGTATAGTTTATCAGTTTATTGCCCATCCTGTTGACTTATGTTCTTACTTTTTCTGTCAAGTAATCTAGTTTTGGTGGTCTTTTCCATTCTTTAGACAACAATTTTTACTTTTACATGGACAGTTGGCTTATTCTGATTCTTTAATCCATTCAGTGTCTTACATTCAATTGACCATCCAACTAGTTACATCTCTTGTATGGATCATTCATAACTCCAGTTTCAATTTTAAAGTACTAGTACAGTTCGAGGCACACTTTAGTTGTGTACTTATGACCCTACAAGCTGTGGTGTGTCATATACATACTTATGTCTTCCGCATCTACTGCCAACAACATCCTCTTTGCTTTGGGTATAATGACTTCATTTCATGAAGTGATTCATTTGAGGTACACCAGCATGTGACATCTGCAATGGGATTTTGCTTCTCAGTGACCTCTGACTATAGACCGTCACGCATCATGTCTTGTTCTCCCATAATTCTAGTGTATTTTTAGTTTTGGTTGACTGAAGAGTTTACAACAGCTAAGTCTTCTTTTCTTCCTTCTCCAATAAAATTTCATTTATTCACAAATGTCTCTTCCTCAGTTGAGGTCCTGTTTTGGAAAATCTGCATCCCTCTGGTTCTTATACTCCTCAGGAAGCAACATCTCACTTCAACATATTAGATCTTTGGGCTGTTTAGCCTGCTTGTCTATTCTACACCATCGTTCTGTGTTAGATCACGTAAAGATTTCTAAAGTGGTAGCTGAAATCAACAATTCTGGTGGTTCTCTTTTTTTTGTAGTCATTGGTTAGCTGCAGTTTCATTTCTTCCTTGACTTCTTTTTCATCTTGTTCACATTCAAGCCTCTCACATTTTTGGTGAGATGAATATTTTAGCAGACTAGTTCATCAGTTTCTACCTTCAGAGTGCAACCATCTACCATTTGGTTTTACAATAGCGACATGAATGGCTGGTCATCCAATGGCTGATGCCTTTATTACATTGGTCAATCATTTTCTTCCTCTCTACTGGTCTTTTGTTCCACATCAAAATCCTCTGGCAATTAACATTCTAGGTCACTCTTGGAAGAACCTCTTTCTTTATGCTGCCTTCCTCTCCATATTTTTCCTTGAGTACTTCTCAAGATCAATACTTGTAGTTCAGAGTTCTCCTTATTGCTTCACTTTGGGCAGCTTAACCATAGTTTGTCCTATTATGTCAACTTTCCTCAAATATCCCTTTTTCGTGATGACATTCAATATCTACAACTTCATGGCTAGCTGTTATTTGTTTTGTTTGTCCAAGAAGCCACATTTTCTTCCCAGGTGGCTCGATTGGTAGCCCATTCTAGCCAATGTTTCCCTAGCTGTCTGTCAGTCTTGTTAAGCTACCTTCAGGAGTTGATGCAAGAAACATGTCTTGTTTATCTCCAAATCATGGGCTATCTGCTTCCAAAACTACCACCTTCAAATGCCAAGTAATCTATAAGTCATTTTCATTCTTATTGTTCAAAGACCTTTTCCAAGCCTTTCATCTTCAACAACACCAAGTTCTTAGACATTGTCTTAAATTAGAACTGGGGTTAGTCTTGAATTTCTTGGCTCCTCCCTCTTTTTGAATCCTTAGTGACTTGCTCATTCTGTCACCTTATCTTCAAAGCATATTTTCTTTTATTAATTACATTGGGCAAGTTTTTTCTTGGAAGGCCTTATTCTTGTATCCACTTAAGATGTTCTTTCCTAAAAACTTAAGATGTGAGAAGAGGTAGCCATTGTTCCTCATCTAATCTATTACTGGCCCTGATTGATGCTAATTTTTTGTTCCAGGGAAAATTTTATAATGTCTTATCTTGCATATTTACTGAATCCTTTAAGAGTCATGGTAAAGGTTTTTATACAGTATGACAAAACATACTCCTCAGTTCTTTCTTCAGAAACATTAACAAATTAGCTTATCTAGTGGATCTATCTTATTTACTGTGATCTTCCAAAACATCTTAAAAGTAAATTTTGGATTACATCTCTTCAAAGTTGCCATTTGGTGTCTTTGGTGGCCCAGCCACAATACACTTTAGAAGATATTCTGCAGGCAATCTTGTGGGTGAATATAAATATATTCTTAAAATTCTATTTACATCACATTGCTATCTTTTTAGTTTGGGGATTCCATTGGCCTCCAGTTATGGTTCTTCAAGCAAATGGAACTCCTAACAGGTAAGTTCTTTTATGTTGACTGCTTAGTTAATTTCTGGGTCCATGTTTATGTTATGCATGGTAACCCAAGAATATCAATACTACCTAGTTCCCTTTTTAAGAATTAGAGGAACATCTGAGGTTAAGCACTCATTTGGGATAAAAATAATATCAATCACAGTCTCTCCTTTATCATATTAGTCTCCATGTTTAATGAGTTCATCTAGTTGAGGTTCGTACATATTCCTCTGTGATTATCCAAGAGAAAATTCCACCTTCAACAGTAATGCTTCATGTGAGGGTGATGCCCTCTGGTTGTGGACAGAGGATGTCATCTGGTAGCTGATGATGCCTTAGCAGACACTTCTTCCATCTGTGTGTGTGTTCTTGCGGAGATAAGAAGACCCTTCTTGATATGTTGTCTTACAGCTCCAATCAGGATGAAGAACACCTTACAGAGTTCTGTGTAGAGTTCTCGATTCCATCCTTGGTTCTGTCTAGATCATTTCACTTCTCCTTGGATACCTACTGACTGGGTCAGCCAAATCACAAAATTTGCCTTCTCTTAGCCCCAGGAACCTGTTCAATCATTAGAATCTCTCCTGTGAGAATTTTCTACAACAGGTACAGTACAGTGCATTATGTTGTGACCCTGCTTACCTATTATGTCACCACCTGTGACCACACTTGAGAATTTGAATGGTTCTAAAGTTATCTACATACTGCTTTGCCCCTGATATACATACTATGTGAAAGAGTATTTATAGCAGTCATGTACCCTGCTCAGAAGAATGCTTTTCTTTGTGAATATCTTTTTTTTATTTGTTCTCTTATGAATAGTACACTTCACTTGATTCTCCCATGAATCCAGTCCAACACTTGTCTTTAAGTTATACTTGTTTCAAAGAATTCCACCCTTTAGTAACCCTGTACAAGGTCAAGTCAAACTGAAAGAACAAGATTAGGCCTCATATAGTGTTGCAGTGTATATTATGTGTGTGATGTTTTGAGTTGCCTTCTACTCACCACTGTACTGCTACTAATTTTATTATTCTGAATTATTCAGCAGACACACTGTTTGAGATACTAAAAATAGATATGAAGCTCAGTCTATCATTTGACTTCCCCACTTGTTACTGAGTTATTTGGTTTTCATGGAACTCCACTACTGATGAGAAACATCGGGCAGAGGCAAATTGAAAAAATAAAACTTGGCTTCATGCATTCTTCAAATCCCATATAAGTATAGGTTCACTGTGGTGAGTAGAAGACAACTTAGTACACCATACATATGAATCCAATCCAGTGACTTTCTCTGGTTCTGGATTCAACTCAGACTCTACTTCATCACATTTTTTAATTTGTTGTTATCTGGGTTGTAACTTGCCTGCCTAAGAATCCAGATATTGGTGGACAAGTGTTCCTATGGCTCTCCAATTCCCTCCTCCATCTTATTGTTGGTATTTTGGCTTTTAGTATTTCAGTGATTAGTTTATTTGATTTGAATTTTAAAATTAAAATTAATTTCAAACAGGTACCTACTCTGAATTGGTGGGATAGTAGATTTTATGTTTGTTCTCTTAAAGCGTACACAAAAGCTCACATGGGAGAGTGGAGAACTCTTAGTAAGTTGATGCATGCTCTTTGAAAATGTTAGGCTACCTGACTGTTGACAGTATGAGAGTAAACTCAACAAGGAAAGTCTTTTAAGTATTTCAGAGGTAAGTAGTTATTGGAAATTGATTTTAATCGTAAAAGCATAAAAAATCTGGTTTTATGTTTGAATTGGAGAAATGTCTTTCTTAATGCAAGTTTGATTTTCTGAATAATAATTCTTCACCTGGAAAAATGTGTTGTATTTAGTTACATTTACATATTTTTTAAACATTTTTGCATCTGACAGAGAAAAAGACGTACAAAAAAGAAAGTTCAGTCACAAGCTAACACTGCTGGTGAAGCCATAGAAAAAATGCTCCAAGAGAAAAAGATTTCCACTAAGATAAACTATGATGTTCTAAAAAGCTTGAAAGACCAAGATTTAAAATCATCATCATCCCCTGCCAAAAATGAATGCCCTCAACCTTCTTTAGACTCACCCATAAGAAGAGACTCCAAGTCATCTGGTAGCAAAATAATAAATGGAGGAGTACCCCCATCAGGGATTTCAAATCTGATAACTTCCATTATTAGCACCAAAAGGTACCAAACTTAAAGTAGTTAATTACATGCACCATAAAAGAACCAGAATCTTTCCTAAGAGTTAGCCGTAACATATTCCCTGAGAAACATTTCCACATCTGTGTAACCCAAATACATTTTATATATATGAAACACTATTTAGCTTTTTAACATTTTTTTGTTAAATGATCATGTATGATAGCTGTTTTAAGTACTTAAATCTAATTTTTATAACATAGGCTTAGAAAACAAAAACATTTATGATAGGTAAGTTATTTTTTTTATCAACCAATGAAATTCACAATTGGACTGCACTAAAACACCACTTGTTTTAGTTTGTATAGTATGGTTTACATAATGCTAGTTTTAGTAAAAATAATTTTCCTCAGAGAAGAGTGTCCTATCTATTTTACAACCAAGAAATAATTGATAAACTTTAATAAGGAAATACTTTGTATTTAGCAAAACTATACAAGTGAAACTTAAAATTTTGCAAACACAAACTATCTTATTATATATATAGATCTTTTTTTTTTAGAAAGTATATAGAATAGGTAAAACTATTAGTCTTTAAAGCAACTCCTATTCCAACTATTAACATAAACAATGCCAGTTGTCTCTTTATGTTAAGTGGGTAAAAATGTAAAGCTGTCTTTTACTACTTGATGATAATTACTACATTAGAGTCATAACACTAGGAATGTTTCTGAGGATTTATTTTCTCTCCAGATTATCATCAGAAAGAAGCCCTGAAAGTATGGAATGTGTAAGTTGAAAATAAATCTTATATGCTGTTTTTATTGTCTTATGTGTATATGTTGTTTATGTTATAGCATGTTCCTAAAATTCATAAAGCTGAAAGTAAAAATTGCTGAAAATATCCCTCTTAATATTTTGCCTGTTGTATTAGCAAAGTATGAAATTTTCCCTACATATGTGGATAATTTCAAAATACTTTCCTTGAGTATACTTCTTATGGTGTTTCGAGAAAAAAATGTAAGTTTTGTTTTGTTTTAATAGAGTCAATCAACCAGGATTGCAGAAGTAGAAACAGCGGCTGAATTTGAAGTCTTAGCAGATAATTCCATTGTCACCAGTATGGTAGGTGAGGAAGATAAAATACTGGATGACATTCCAGTTGAGGATCCTGAACATGGTAAGTGAATTTTTTCTTTCATAAAAATAAAGGGTAACAAAAGAACAAATATCAGTATGAGAAATTTTAAGTTATCCATGAAGTTATTTGTACACAAGTAAAAAATTTAAGATTATACAGACAAGTTTCTCGTATGCATTTTTGCACCTACACATGACAGGTAAAAGCAGAAACTTGTTATATGTAGATCAAGTAGAGGAGGGTAGCTAATGATAAACTTTATATACATTGGTTAATAATGGACTGTTTGAGATAGTAATATTCATCTTAGCTTTTAATAAACTTCAAATATACAGGCTATTAACTTATCAATAGAAATTGCACTATTTATCTTAGTAGATAACAAACTTCAGATGTGCTGTTTATCAGCAAGTGTAACTAGTAGTTTTCATCATATCTAATAATAACTTTATGGACTATTTTTATTTTTAACCTTCCTTGAAACTGAGGGTAGATTTTAAATACAGTGACCCAAGAATCTATTGTATGTCATGAGAAATAATTGTTGAGTTAATTTCTCATTTCTTTCTTCAATGGATGCAGTTTATTGTACAACACACTCAGGTCAGTAAACAAAGTGGGATTGTTGTTGAGGCAATGTAACATGAACCATGAATCATCAGATTTGCTGTTGGTATGCTTACCAGTAGGCCATGCCTGACCTGGACTGATTATTAGTAGATTGTTATCAGAAATGGCAGCATTCATCATAGATAATGATGAGCTTGGTATACTGACCATTTATATATAAGTAAAAATTATGATATTCATCATAACTGATGACAAATCATAGTAGAACTGGATGATTAACTTGAATTTCAAAATTCTACTATTTGTTCAGCTATAAGTCTTAGACATACTATTCATTGCTACACTAAAAGTGTTCATCATATAAATGATAAATTTCTATTGTGTTAATCATTAGTAGACTAAAAATAATGATGTGTTAAATGATGTAAATTTCAGGTTCAGTGGTTGTCATTACACAAAATAAATGTGACTTACCTCCCATTGTCATTGAAAATACATCTTTTGTTTAGTAGTTCTTAGTGTAATCAAATATGTTCTAGTTTTCAGCAAAGGTGTGGTAAATTTTAGATCTACCAGTTTTTTATAGAGCATGTGTAAATAATCATTGTTGTTAAGACTTGTGTATGCTGATTATTATTAAAAAAGCAAAATATTTTTCAGTATGAATCTGTTATAAGCTTTGTATTCAGCTGTAAATAAGTGTGGAGAAAGAAATATACTTGATTGTTTACAGTTTCTGTGGTTTAACTTGTTTGAGTTTCTGTTCTAAATAAATCAGTTTTTGTTTCTGTTTTATTAAACAGAGGATGAAGATTTAGAAGAAGATATTGAGGAGGAGACTGATGCCCATTTGAGCGTTGCACAACTTTTAGGTCATTACAGAGGTGGGATACTTTTATATTCCTTTCATTCATATTTTTATCACCATGTGTTTATTATACATAAGAATTATTCTTAATGATTGTCTTTTATATCCTTACCTTGTTAAGGAGAATTTTTTTTTTCTTGTAAGTATTCAAATTTACTTCTATTCTGTAGCTGGTTAACCTAGATTTTCAAATACTGTCTATACTCATTAAGCCCTTAGGGTTATACTTCTTTAACTCTCTCAACGTGGGCTTGGTCGATTTGACTGACCACGTCACTTTTTTGTACTCGTATAAAGTCTTTATAGATTTGATACTACTATTTTTAATATAGTACATATATCTTCACAAAATGTGGCAGTCTTTCAGTAAACATTATAAGTATTTCACATACAAAAAAGTAATATTTTTTTAGTGAAGTATTTTAAATAAACAAAAAAAAATATTTGTCCAAGAATATATCAAATATTTGTCTTGAATAGTTTGTGTGCAAAGTGATTTTCATGTTAAGATTAAAAATAGTTTTCTTCATATCAAAAATCTCAGATTTGATTTGTGTAATCTCTGAAACCTTCCTAAATACATTTCAAATGTTTGTTTCAGTAAAATTTTATATTTTATCTGTTATTT